ATGCATTCTCCGCCAGTGCTACCACCATCGGAAAATACCGTAAACGGCTGACTAAACAAATACACGGGTTTAAATGGCGAGTACACGAAAAATTTGTTATATAAAAATGTAAATCTTTTGATAACTTCAGAACGTGTATTCTAATTTATTACTCCAGCTAATATAACTTTTTAGATTAGTAGTAACTCGCTGGCTGCTTTAACTACGGTAGGGATCATTGTTTTATGCACCCGTTTTGCTAGTTGCGATATAGCGCTATCTGTACTGTAACGAAATTTTTAAAGGTGCATAATTATATTGTTATAACAAGTCCATAAAAAAATTAAGCACTAGTTGATTAAAAAGAAGCATACTATTAATATTGACACTATTAATATTAGCACTTTGTTTACTGATTTGTTTCGTCGATCTGCCTGAATTTTTGCCTTTAAACTCATTTTGGCAATTTTATGATCATTTGAAATAACATAACGCGTCGGCTAGTTTCGATTGTTTTTCACTAATTTTTCCTAGCCGAAACAAGTGTTACATCACACATACTTCATACCTTAGAATTTTATAGTTTCACTAACTGCACTAGTGAAAACTAAAATAGTTAAATTTATGACAAAGCCACGATTTTAATATTATTTCAATATGATCAACACAAACGTAACCGGGAACCGGGACTGCGTGAAATTCATAGCCGGAAAGTTCAACTGAAATGCACCAAGCCTATATTAATATTTAATTTGCGATATAACTGGCATTTAAAAATACATTGATTTTTAAGAAATCTAAAATATAGTAATAAAAAATATAGGCGATAATTTTGTGACGTATTAATATAAAAGATTTAATGTTAATTTGGCCTGGGGATTTTTGACCCCATACTTCCATAAACTAATGCTTTTTTCTATTATAATATAAGTTTATGGCCCAGCCGAACAAAAACAATGCTTAGAGAACGCCTGGCATGCTATGTACGTTCCCCTAGCCTGGTCGTTATTCGCAATAGCCACAAGCATGATCGTGTTGGCACTACTCGCACAGTACTGACTTCATGGTATGCCATTTAAGAATTTTATTTTCATAAAAATGACACCACAAATTACACACAAACACATTCATCTTATAGTTTTAAACATGTAGACGTTATAAATATAAAATAGGTTTGAACGAAAATATTAGAATTGGAATAGCGGCTGTGGTACGATGGGTTTTTACAAAGTTTCATATGTATGGTGTATGGGCTGGATCAATAAAAGGGTAATCACGTTACTAGTTAAGTTTAGATGAATGAAAAGAACTTTAAAGGTTGTTTGGACACTTATTGCTCACAACTTATTGCCCAAATGTTTGAAAATAAATCAAACGGTTCATGCAAATATCTGATAATACATATCGTCGGTGAAATGTGTTAAACTGCCAACTCCATTATTCCCAATTTTACAGGAGAGAAAAGAAACGGTGCACAAAATATGTATAGTTTATCCGAAGTTAGTTGGAATAATTTCGGCACTGTCTTTGTTGGCACCTTTGTCGACATCATCGGGATAAAGGAATTAATAGTCTCAGTACTTCCAATTGACTTCGGAAATACTATACACCCGCAGTAAGTATATTCATGCGTTAATATAATAAAGAGATTAATATTTTTTTTATTAATTGTTGAATTTGAATGAATTGAATTGAATTTTTGAATTTTAAAATGAGTTGAAAAAAAGTAAACAATCTAAAATGTATAATTCAAATGGTAAAATACCGTACTATCTAAAAAAACGGCGTCAAAAACGGCTGGAGAACGATAATTGATGATAATTTTGGCGAGGTCAATCTCTAGATGTCATTTACTAAATATTGATACAAAACTTGTGAAAAATTAACACTAGATAGGTATAACGTTTCCAGACACACAAATATGTTTCAAAAAAAATTATACTATTTCAAAAGAATTTTTACTCAATATTAAAATAAATTACAACCTTCTTTAGGACAACTGGCAGTATGTGCCATTAAGAATAGAGAAGAGTCAGGGCCAAGTAATGACGTCTAGAGCTTGACCTCGCCAAAATTCTCATGGACATTATCATTCCCAAGCCGTATTTGACGCCTTTTTTTTGATTGAATGGTAGTGTTAACTAAGTTCCATCGCTACCATTACATGATCCTCCATGATCATTTTTATATTTAGAAATAAAGGTAGTTAATGTATTTTAGATTTTTTTTGCTACATTAATAAACCCAGTTTATGAGAATCCTGTTCTTTTTTATTATAAAAACCTCTAGATCTTTTTTTATATTTTTACTGGTTTACGTTATACACGAATCATACCATTGTCATTTCCTTCTCACTGTAGCCTCATTTTGAGTAATATGCATTTATTCTATCAACCCGAAAGTCTGGTTATTGTTTGTTCACCGGATAGTAGTTCTACTTTGATATAATGTTTTTTTATATTCTATTTTTTACCAAAAAAATGCTTCATCTCAACAAAGAATATTTTTTAACCAAAACCGTTTTTTCTCATCTGTCTAGATTTTTGAACATACATAATATACTAATTTCTAAGTATATTTTAAGATAATATAGCTAATTTAATTTCACCTGTTTTCCATTAATAATTGACATTAACAGATATGTTAAATATTTTATCTCTAAAATGTAGTTACAATAAAATTTGCGGACGGTGTTTCAAATTTACCACTTTCAGTCAGACTTTTACTAGTGAGATTATTTACATTATGATATGGGCAAGCACTATGCAGTTTGCCGATATGTAATCAGTTGCATGGAACTCTGCGTATCTAATTCAAATTCAAATTCAAATTTCTTTATTAGACCCCATTAAGTTTTACAGAATAATATTAGTATTAATAAATGTGTGTCTAAAGGGATCGCACCGATACAATGGCACAAAGTGCCAGAGTGGTGCGACCCCATCTAGCGTATGTACCTAGATATCGCTTATTTTATGTTATGTATTACAGCTAGCTCTGAGGCCCATTGAAACGTTTATAAAAACCATTGATAAAAGTCATAATCAAACTTTAAACTTTCAAAAAAGTTTAAAAACTAGATAAAACTAATTTGAATGGCTACAAAAACAGGCAGTATAGAAAATTACAAATCGACAAATAAATGTAGTTATAGGAAGTGAAGACAACTTACATTTTATTTACAAGTTTCACTATTGATACTGTCACTAAAACTGGGGGCATCCTCTACCCTATACAGGGTAGTCCAAACTATTCCGGAAACTTCGGCAGCATATTATGCAGACAAAAATAAGTAAAGAAGTTCGTATAAACGTATGTTCTAAAATACTTACTTTCGGAGATACCCTGTAGATACAGGGTGTAGAAGTTTCATTTTTATTTCGATTTTTTCCAAATAATTTCTGAAGTAACATGAGAAATTTAATTTTGATATCAATATGACTCCTATTTGTAGGGGGCGCCACCTACATGTGTTTTAACTGTTTTGAAGAGTAATAACTTTTGGTCCGTACCTGTATGAAACCCCTACTGAGTGAAAAAGTATACATTTCCGTGATTTTTTACGTAAAAAATGTCTCTTGGTAAAAATCGTTCCGAGGAAATAGTCAATACATATCATTATTGACAAAAAATAAACATGTTGAATAGATAGTTATTTGACTGAAATGATAAATTTGGGAACTTTCTTTTTATTTTCAACTTTTAGGCATTTATTAACCATCATTTTGATAGCTTTTTCAACCTTTATTATTTTGGGTAGGCATCAGAGCATCTTAGCAAAATATTTTTTCTTTTCTTTATTTATTTTTTTTTGTTCAGTAATCTTACTTAATTATTTTCCAGCTTTTGCGCTTTATGTTGTGTTGCTAGTGTCCAGACGAGACTAGAATATTTCTGACGATTTATATAATATTTAACATACTATAAGCACTGTTTTAAAAAACACGATTTGCATTTGTTCAGAGTTGTGCTCAATAACATATATGCTTAGGTCAATTGAAATAAATTAATTTTGCAAAACAATATTATTTTTGATGGTTTGGGGAAAGTACTGTCGCTTTGGTTGATTGTTTTTGTTTTTTCTTTTGAATATGGCTATATTGAGGATTTTAATAAAAATAATGCTATAGAATAGAATGTAAATCTCTGCTGGTCCAGTTATACTTAGTAGTAAGCAGTGGCGTAGCTACACCCTCGCCTTTGGGTTGCCCTACAATATAGAGGACTCCATTATGGACCCGTGCCGACCGTTGTAAATTGAGATATAAAGGTCCAATAGCCGAGGATTAAGTAGGAGCCCAAAATTCTAGTTACGCCACTGGTAGTAAATAGTAATGCTATTCTTAGTTTTATTTTTACTGGTTTTTAAGTTATGCTTGCTTTGTGTATGTTCAGTTTAAATAATGCTTTCCATTGGCTAAATGTCTTGTTTTCTTTATTTCAGCACTCCGTTAAATTTCTTGCAAGTTGCTTTTTAAAATATTTCTAAAGTAAGTAGAAATGGTGGTTTGAGTTGCCTAATGCTCTAGAAAAACTCTTAACTAAAATCGCTTTGCTATGAGAACTTGTTTATAAATCACTAAATCTAAATTATGAAGAACACAGGTAATGACGCTTTTATAATAATTATAGATAACAAGGACGAAATTTTAATGGTTAAAAAAGTGTATTAAAACACGGCATGGTTTTGTTAATAACACCACGTGTCTGTATACAAAGAAGTTATTTCTGGATATTTTTACTAGATCGGCATAGCCGTTTGCCATGCTATTATTCTCTGTATACAGTATACGTATAAAACAAACATTTGTTAAACTGAAAAATACTCTTGTATATATCTAATTCCCGAACAAATTTGGGTTGATGAATAACATTCAAAATATTGAAATGCATGGATTTAGAGATGTAACTAACACTAATTTTTCAAATAATAATTAAATTGTAAAATATTCTTAAACCCAAATTTAGTAAACCCTCCATATATAATTTATTTAATTCTAATGAAATGTTAAACATTTTAGAAGATTTTTATCATCAAGAGCCTCAATATACTGAATCCACTGTTGAAGAAATCGACCCTATCACTGGAGCAAAGTAAGTGTGATTATTTTTACTTTGATTATGAGTATATGTTTTAAATTTAATACCAATAAATAAAAATCGACCAGTTTATGATTGTCCCGCATCATGATCGAGCACGTCGGAACGCTAGCTGGTTTGCGCAGCAGGGAGCTCTCCATTGGCCACAGCAAAAACCGCAGATCCACAGCTGGTGCGCCGCGCTGGTGAATACGCTGTTTAATTAAACATAGTCAATATCTTATGTGTACCTAAAATAACACAACATTTTTTTATTTAATATATTGCAAAAAAATAAACAAAAAAGAGAAAGTAGAGAGACATATATCTAATTTTTCGACTGTATCTAATTTTTCTATTAAACTACAAATTTCGCACAACCCCCATTTTTCATATAAGTTATACATTTTTAATGGTTTCGGTTGTTGAACTATTGAGGCGCAACAAAAATAAACAAGAACTGTGATTATATACCGGGTCGGCATTTCTGGCCTTGGGTGCCGATTTTCGTGTGTACGAAGAACAAGTATTATATATTTCCCCAAGCGCTGAAATCTAGCACCCGATTAAGTGGTTATGTAATAACAACTGCGCATTTTTCTCTCTCAGACTTATAGATCACCATAGCGATTGATTCGTAGACATGTAAACACCAATCCAAGAAGCTCTTCCAGCTCCAGCTTTTTTTTATAAAAAATATAACAATATACATCAATAATATAAGGTAGCTTATTTAACTATTTTTTTTTCTTTCAGAATTACTAAAACGGTAAGGACTCTAATTAACCATTCCATTGTGTCACCAGAGCAAGATCATCGTCAAACGATGCAAAATGTATTGGGTCAGTTTATGTTAGAAGAAAGGAATCCTCGTTAGAAACTCAGTGAATAAACTTTTTACATATTTGTAGTCATAAATCCATTACTTTATATCACTTTTTAGTATCTTAAACTAACGAAAATTTGCAGTATTTTGGCCGAATATTTTATTAATTCCCGAAAATTATTTATTGTTTTCATTTTGTTAACTTGTCTACTTAAAGTATATAGTATTAAGATAATATATAAATTATTGATAAATTTAAAGATGCCAATTTAGAAGTTCAAATTGTCGATTTTCAGCCAATTTAATTGAAATCTTTATATAAATTTATATATATTACCTGAATTAGCATAGATAAAAACTTTTAAAAATTTACTCTATAGCGTTCAAATAGTGCCTAAATTTTTACTTGAAAAATTAAAATTTCAAGTAAAAGTTTGTGTTATATTTTAAAATTGTACATCCTTTTTGCAATTAAAAATATATGGGACGTATATTTGTATATAAAGTCAGTAAACAATAGTTTAAGTTTAACTTTAAAACACTTTTAACTATTTTTGCAAAAAGGTTTAGGTGCTGAAAAAGGTTTTGTCACAGTTAAAAAAATGTGAATTTTATTAATAAGAATTTTAATATATTTATTACAATATACATTATGCTTTTAAAAGATGAAATAAAGTTATTAATTCTGTAGAAATGGTTGCTTAATATGTATTTGATATGTTGTTTCAAAAATAAATGTGTGGTGTACAGTATAAATTAATTTCATCCCCTCTTCTACATTTTATGTAAAATATACATATTTGTATAAATTTAATCTTACAATATAGTATTACACAATCATAAAGTATTTATACCACCAACTATGTTAACAACTCTTCCTTTATATTTTTTTGAAATATCTTCCTCAATCTGACTTTTCAATTCCTTTGTTTTTTCTATAGCAGTTTTAAGAACCGGTTCAATTTTGTTTATATCCATATTACAGTCCTTAATTTTCATTTCTAATATATCTTTACTTGTTTTTATTCTTTCTACTATAGATAGCTTTTGTTTTAAAGTATCTGTTAGAATATCCACATATTTAGGAGAGTGTTTAATATTATACAAGTGTTGAAATCTTCTATTAGTTAGTTCATTTAAAGCTTTATGAACATAATCACTTAAAAGAGTTAAAGTTTCAACAGTTTGCATCTGCAATATTGTTGGAGCTTCTTGCATTTGTGACAATGTTAATAAATCAGAATCATTAGACATTTCAAAAAGCCTTATTTTTAGAAATGCTTCTAGTTCTATAAGATCATTTATAATTTGATCTCTATATTTTGAGTTATCCAATAAATGTAAGGCTTCATCACCTCTTGCAATACCATCACCTGATTTTTCTATAATGCCTGACTGTTCACGACTAATCTCAATTTCTGTATTTAAATCATCATAATTTACTATTTCAAATGACTCTTCATTGGAAGATTCTAAAAAATAATGATTAGTAACTGCTAAAATTAATCTAAATTATTGTACCTCGTGATGAACCCCAGTCAATTTTTTCTTCAATTATTTGTGGATTTTCAATAACTATTTGATCACCAAAATCAATTCCAGTATTACTTTCAAAAACAATATTGTCCCCAAAATCTATAACATTTTCATCTGCCTCTTCAATTATTTGAGGTTGAGTCACCTCTTCAATACTTAGAGGTTTTTCTCCATGAATAAATTCATAAGTAGTTGTATTTCCATTCTGCACTACATAACTTAATGTGCTTAAAACATGGGAACATTCATTTATTATAAACTCTGTAAAACTAGTATACAGATCAATAACTGCTTTCACGGTTTTAATTTTATTCATTTGTTTGTCGTATATTATTGGAAGTTCTTTGACCAACTCTAGTAATTCTAATTTTATATTGTTTCCCTTGATGCCTAAAATTTTAATATATTATTTATAAAATATTCAAGATTCTAAAAAAATCTGTGTGGCATCATACCCAACTGTTCGCAAGAGGTATTGAATTCTTTTAAAGTTAGACTCTCTGATTTGTTATAATCCTTAATTTTTTTCTCGCTTTCAATTTTACTCTGCTCCAGCTTTTGAATTTGTTTTTTTAAACTAGGAATTTCATAAGAAACATTTCTGATCATAATTTGAGCTGCCTAAAAAATATGTTAACAAATATATTCAAAGTATAAAAATGGAATTTTAACATACTTCCCCTAGATAAATATTGTCTTTCTGGTATAAGTTAACAACATCCTGCCAGTCTTTCATTCTTTGCGAGCCATACATACCAAATATATTTTTTGTATCTTTTTCTGTGTCTTTTAAAATATTTATAATCTCAAGACAATGGAAGTAGTTTATGTGTTGACCACTAAGTAATTTTATGATACCTTCGTGAGCGGGCATATCTTGAATTGCGTTATTAATTTTTTCACGAATCTTTAAAATATGATTTTGCCAATCTTTGCTAACATGTCGACGAGATACAAGCCATTCTAAAAGTTTGGCCGTATTGATATCTATTGCAATATTTTGATCGTCCATTATTTAAATAATATTTAAATCCATATGTTTGGCCAAATTTTGAGAAGTAAATTGAGTCAGTGCCTTCTATTAAAAGATCAGCCTACGGGCGGACTTTTGTTTACTTCATCAGCTGTACATACTTAGATATTGGGTTAGATTCTGTTTCATATTTTGTCGGTTGATTTTTGGTTTTAACTCTTTGATTTTTGGTATTATTTATTATTGTAGTGCAAAAAACTAATTATTTTGGTGTTGAAGTGACATAAACTACTACCAGATATATGGTCACTCTCGGTTTCGCATAAAAAAAATAGAAAAATTGAAAAATTACACGTTGTGTAAGTGATTTAACCTAAAAGTGCCCATACATTTTTTACTCATCGTGATTTTTGTGTGTGTTTTTTAAGACTCTAACAATTCATCAATAAAGCTTAAGTGGAGTGTGTTTTTGTGCTATGCCTCATCTTTGTTGTGTTCCTGGTGGAAAGGATAGTTATACTAGGCAGCCTAAAGTGTCCGGAAGAGCAAGAAAAATGGGTACGAGTTATAAATCAAGAGAATTCTATTGAAAATATCTTTAATAAATTTAAAAATAATATTCTCCCATGATAGTATTAATGAAAACTGGACAATTATGTTTATTTTATTCATATTGTGGAATCTCCATTCCAAGTGTTGTTGGTGCAGCTTTGATAGATTCAAACACGTAAGATAAACATGTCAGTAGGTATTATGATCTAGGGAAAAATAAAGAATATGTGTATTAAAGATCATGAAAAAGATTATTATTTTGAGTTCAAATTTTAAAAAAGATTTTTCTAAAGACAAGACTGATACAGTTTAAAAGAAGAATGTGTTTTTGTTTGATAATATATAATGTATGTCAAGCATAACATATATTTGTTCAGTAATTTTTAATGAATAGTGTTGATTATTTATAATACCAAATAAATATCAAATATTTTAAGTGATGGCTGAATACAATGTGAATAAAATAACAATAAAATTGGTATATTTGCATAATACAAAATTAAGTTTTAAGTATAAAGGTGTTACTAAAAATACTAAGAAATTCATATTTCTTTGTTTTAATTGGTCTAATGTTATTTACATTTTACGTAAGAATTATACCGTATCATCGAAAAAAATCGGCGTCTAGTTGGCTTGGAAATGAACATTGATGACATTCCCTAAATAACTGACACATAAAATAATTAACTAGAATTTTACAATCTTGGAAAATTTGATATTCTTTTGAACCTTGATTCTAAATATTCTAAATTTTTTGATTTTCTTGGAATTTAGGTTCGGGAAAAACGCTGATTGATTTTTCATTTGGTTTTTCATTATTTTTATTTGATTTAAAAAAAAACGGTTCGGCTAACATTATAGCCTCCATCAGTGTTGTGTCATATGAAAAAAATATAATCCAAAAAATTGCATATAAAATATTCACACCACGCACATAATGTTTACTGCGTACTCCATAGTCAATGTAGATAATTTTAGTGTTAAGAATAATAATTTTAAAAAATATGTGGTCATCTTTTGATAAGTTTATATTAGTTTATTAATTGCAGTAAACATTATGAGGTGTGAATTATATTGTATATGTAATTTTTGGATTATATTCGACACTATTTTTCTCATATGACACAACACTGTGAAGGCTATAGTTAGCCCGAAACGTTTTTTTTAAACCAAATAAAAAAATAATGAAAACCCAAATGAAAAAACTTAATCAGCGTTTTTCCCGAACCTAAAAATCCCAAGAAAATCAAAAATTTTAGAATAATTTAACATATAAAATGCCAGCGATCTTCAGTTCATAGCCATCGCTGACGCCTTTTTTAGATAATATTGTATTATTTGTAAATATAATTTTTCGAACATTGATACTTGCAAAATATACATATAAATTTTGTGAATGCAAATAATACATCACTATTAGTAGATATTAAATGTTTTTTTGTTAAATTAGATCGATTTTCAAACCCCAAAATTTAAAATATATTTACATTTTACCCATTATCTTATGTACCTATACATTATTTGTACATTGTAAAACATTTGCTGCATTTGTATGGTTCATAGTTTATTTGCCAAAGTATTTATTACTATAAATAGGTATATATGTTGTAGTTATTAACTGTATATTATGTATATTTCATTTAAACTATATCATTTTTAAAATACAAACCAAAAATCTGAGGAATAATTATGTTTTCCATGTATTCTACAACATATTTATTAATCCGTTATATCTAACTAGCGTGACGTCATAAATCTCGCCCGTAGGCTGATCTTTTAATAGAAGGCACTGCATAGAATATGTGTAGAAAGACTAGAAAGCAGAAAGTAGTGACAGTGACAGTTATGTAGTAAATAGTAGAGGTGGGCCAGTCTGCGATTTTTGTGGAGCTGCTACGCTCTGCGACTGCTCCAATAAAAGCACTGTGACAAGTAGCAGCGATTTTTCGGAGCAATTAACCTATAAATTAAAAATGTAGTTTTATAGGTTAATTGCTCCGAAAAATCGCACTCGGTGTTCGGCACCGTTCGTTGCATTTACTAAAAAAGTACAGGACTATAGGTGTGATTATGATAGGCAACATCATCGTCTAGTTTTTATTTATTTATATCGTATGATCGAAAAAAACGGCGTCAGCGATAGCTATGAAATGAAGATTGCTGGCATTTTATATGTAAAATTTATGGGGAATGTTATCGATTGTCATTTCCAAGCCAACTGGACGCCGTTTTTTATTTCGATCAGTAGTGGCGATTTTAACGTCTGTGCAATCGGGGTAAGTCACCGACGGGCCCCAAGCCTCCCGGGCCCTTGCGAACAAGATTCGAACTTTTCCGAACTACGGGCCCCTAGAGCTCTTAAAATCGCGGCTGTACGGTACTATACTGATGTCTTAGTTTGATAGATGTTGCTATATTTTTTTAGTCTATTCAGAAGAATTTGAGTGTTTCTAAGTACCAAGCACTTTGCTATAAATATCTTAAAGAGTCTGTTCATTTTCACAGAGTGGTGGCCCATGGTAAAAACTTAATGTTATATTCAATTCAAAGTCGAAACTGTCAAAAAAATCTTTATTAGTGACCGGTTTCGGCTATTTAGCCATCATCAGACCTTAAAAATAGATATAAATAATAAAACTTATATGAATGTATAAGATCAAATAAAAGATTTAGGATATACAACAAAACACAGATACAAAATTAACTAACAAATAAACATACTAACAAGTTAAAAATTACCTTTGTCAAAAACATCTGTTTGTGATTAATATATAATACATAAATATCTTATTTAGATTCATGAAAGAAAAAGCGAACGCTGCTACGTTTCCCGTTCCCAAACTCCCAACAGCTCCAGTACACAGAATATACTCAATATACTATGCTCCAGTCGACTGCGACCTGCGACGACTGTGACTGGAACAGTCTGACCGGGCGACGGGGCTAGGAGCATTTTCAGAATTTACACTATTGCCTGCTATTGCTCCTATTGCTACTCACGAGCGCAGATGTCCTAAACTTGTAAACTGCTCCGAAATGTCACTGCGATTTTCTTGGAACTGGAGCAGTCACATACTGCGACGTTGGTGGAGCTGTGACAAAGTAGCGGACTGCGATTTCACAACCCACCTCTAGTAAATAGTAATAAAAAGTGAAACGACTGAATTGGGATAAATTCAGAATGTTGATAAAATGGTTTTTAGAAATTATTCAATTGTACTGGTTTATTTAAGCAGATCTCGCATTATCTTCGTAGTGTAAATATTGCACTATGTATGTGTGAAATAATTTTAAACGCTGTATACATCAGTAAGAAAGAATTGTGAATAATATTTTTTAACAGTTGTTTTATGTGTAAAGTTTTGTGTACAAAAATATGTACCTAATGGATAATAAATCATAATAAATTATTGAAACTAATAGTGAGTGATTTTAGTGTATGTTGATTATATCAGTAAACTATGCGTTTATTTTTATGGTTTGAACTTTAAATTCTAAAAATAACTAGTGTTAAATGTTCAGTTCGTAGTGTAGTGTATAAAATAATTTGGTAAACAAAGAATTTATAGTCGTAAGACAGATGATAATATAAGCATAGCAAATTAGGCAATATGACTACAATTACAATGGAAGAATATGAATTGATGAAAGACTCCAAATATCGAATATATGTAAGTGCAATTGATAGAGCCTTAAAGAACTTTGAGTACACAGCAGAATGGGCTGATCTAATATCAGCATTAGGAAAATTAAATAGAGTAAGTCTACTGCATTTTTTTAAACAAATAGAGTTTGAAACTATTTTATTATTTTAGGTTTTATCAAATTATACAAAATTTCCAGTAATTCCTAGACGAATTAAAATTAGTAAAAGGCTGGCACAATGCATGCATCCTGCCTTACCATCAGGAGTTCATTTGAAAGCCCTGGAAACATATGATATTATATTCAAGTGTATGGGGACAAATAGGCTGGCATGCGAATTGTTTATATATAGTTCAGGTAAATAAAGAATTTACTAATTAATATTTATTAAATAATAGATTTTATTCAGATTTGATACAATAAGAGACCGAATTATCCTAGAATATATTTTTTAATTAAAGAAATAATTCAAAAGTATCTAATTTTTTATCTATTTTTTTTATATATTTTCACTCTTTGCAATTCAAATTTCTGGTTTAAAATATTACCATAAACATGTGTTGTGTTCCACTTTTAACATAAACTGTGTTTTTTCAAACTAATTGAAGATGATTATTCATTCCTTCATGTTTTTCAGATTGTTGTTTATAATCTGAAGTTATATTTAACAAGTTGTAATTATCTCCTTTAAAACTACTGAAAATGTATTTAATTACTATTACATAATTTATATTTAATTTGGTTAAAATGCTTTAATTGAACAGAAATAGGAATAAATACTCTATTGATAAAATGTGAGTGGGTATAAATTAACTTTATTGTTTGTCAGTTCTTCACTAATCCTGCAAGATAATTATTTATAAGCAAAATATTACTTTATTTTTGATATTGTATACAATAGGAATAGTCAATGGTTTTCTATTTTTTTTACATAATTTATTTTTATAGTGCAAAAATTGTGTTTTTCTCCTAGATGATAATATACATATGCCTTTTGCTTTCATTAAGGTTAATATGTTTAACAGTTTAACATAGAGGTATAAATTGTTTGCTTTATTAATAATGAATACTACGTAGTCGCCTTCCTACAGCTTGCCATTAAAGGAAAATTTGGTTTTATTACCAGAACTATTCAGTATGAAGTGAATAAATTTGCTCTCCCAATTGTTTATAGTTGACATATTTATTGCATTATTTATTTACGTGCGTATTATCGACGATGGAAACTTATCTCCAATTATCCGTAACAAGGGTTATCAAAAAGAATATTTTTATACTATTCTAAAGAAGGTTCGTTAACTTATTTTGTCGCTATTTATGAATATCAAATTGTGTATGGGTTTTTATAGTAGAATTTCTACAAGTTAACATTCAAAAAATCTTTAGTAGTTTAGTTTAATGATGGAAGCGACAGTAAATATTAAGCTAATTATGATAATATAAATAGTTATGTTTATAGTTAATTTTTTTATTATTTATAAACTTATAAATATGCGCAAAAGTAGTAGTATATAAAACAGGTTTAATGAAAATCCAAGAACCAGAAATTTCAATAGAACGAGTATTAAGATAAAAATCGCATTTTTTAACTCATTTTGGTGATTTTTAAAAATTATTTATGTATCTTTGAAGTGAAACTTCTTTACGCGTGCTGGGAGTAAAAATTCAAGGCCGTGATACACGAGGTAGCGTCACGACACGCGTCACGAAAAGTGGTAAGCCAATGAGGAAGTTGAGATGGGTCTTTAGAGCTTTTTAACTCGCCCCTATGTGATCTAGGGGGCTGACCACAGTAGATCGCGGTGGATCAGGCCGATAGCCACCTCTAGGAATCTAATGTCTAGGGGGTGAAACTCGGAATGTAGATGGGGCTCGAAAAAAACCATCTTTTCATGATGTTTTGACGACGTTTCGTGCACTATGAAACCCCATCATGGCGAAAAAATCGCTTTAAATGAAATTTGGTATGTCGATAGATTGGACTAAGGTCAACATGACCTTCTACGACACGTATCATTGTGATATTTTTTGACTTTGACGTAAGAAACATCAAAAGATGATGTCGTCCGATCTCGACCAAATTTGGGGAGTAGGCTATGTGAGCGCCGGTGCACATGGTCCCACCCTGCAAAGTTGGATACGACGTTTCGTTAGTGTAGTGTATCTTATCATTTATTAGTCATCAGGTTTACATTACTACAAATCTAAAGCGGCCTATACACTACAGTTAGGTTAAGAAAGTTATTAAGTTAGTTGATGTTAAAGAAATATGTGGGTCGATTTCGGCATAACTGGGGACGGGCTACAGGATGACGCCCTCGACGTTTCAAACCGATGCCTCTAAATGGACGAAATCATCAGGGTTTTTCTTAATTACGAGTCGCTTGGAACCAAACTCGGCACGTGGATAGAGGTACCCGAATGGAGTCGTCAGACGGACATACGGTCGTTTTAATACAAAATTCAAAAAAATAATACAAATTTTATGAAAGTGAATGAAATTATTTATTAATTTTTAAATTATTACTTTTCAGGCTACACTTTTTCAAACATGTCCTTCAAATGCTTTAATATAATAGCTGTTAGTAAGAAGTTTCACTTCAAATATGCGCAAATAGTGCACACACAATTTTTTTTAATTCTATTTTTATTTTTATGCAATATTGATAATTATAATAATTCATTACTTCAATAATTAAGAATATAAACAAAATATTTTTACAGCTCTAAGCTTAAGATGCGAGAGATCATTTTAAAAACTAAACACAAATCTTTAGAAGTTATTGTTGTCTTTTTATTGTTTTTATCTATTAATCGTTTTCAAAAATTCGACTTGATATAACGATATTAATGTTCTGTAGACATATAAATATGTTTGCTTACATTTTCTCTTCTTGTTTACATGATAAAAATAAGGAAGTGTAAATACTCGGAATTCACATTATTTACTCGTCAACGTTCATTTTTTAAACAACTATCTTCTGTTTGTTCACTCAATAAATAAGGTATAAACCAATAATGTGAGACAAACTATTTATTTACAGCAAAACTGAAAAATATGCGTTAGATATAGGGATTTTTCTGCTCAAAAGGTTAATGTGGAAAGTTCAAATTATAATATGGGGGCTTCGTGAACCGATCACAGAGTATATTAATTTAGACAGTTTTGTGGCTTTCTACTTTTGTACTTAGCAATGTGGTTTGTGGTTGCCTTGTCTACACATAACGGTTTATCTGCCAGTTTGCATGTTCAATCAAAACATGTCAATTAAAACCTTTCCTAAGGCCCGCCGCAAATTGAACCCAGCCCACGCACAGCATACGCCCAACCCATTCTTGATTCCACGCACACGTTTTCCTTAGCACCGCATATTGAACACAGCCCAGGCCCAAGTTTTTAGTTTCGATCATGAGTGAATACGAGCAACTTCTTGATTTAGAATCAGGATCCGAGAACAAAGAAGGACTTATTTTACTTCATTTGCTTAATAAATAGAGAAAAAAATGTAAAAAACGCATATTTGCGAAAACAGCAAGCAAAGGAGAGTTTAGATTGTCTAGCGAAGTTCCAGACAGTCTATTTAAAGAGTCTTTTCGATTAAACAGGAGACAGTTTTTTGAAGTATATCAACTAATAAAAACAGACATTACCGGTAAGGAATGCAACGCCCGAAAACCTATTGGAGGTGAAGAAAAACTAGCGGTTTGTCGCAAAAGTCGCAAAAGTAGAAGGGGAAGGAACCCACGACCCACGAAAACTGTGTCTGAACGCAACTAGATCCACGAAAAGGCTGTGCTAGGCGTGGAGCGTGTTTAATTTGCGGTACTCCCTTCTTTCCTGTGTTTTACAAAATTCCCCACGCATGGGTTGGGCGTGTGCTGTGCGTGGGCTGGGTTCAATTTGCGGCGGGCCTAAGATCTAAGTAGAGGACTTACGGAATCATTCAGTTTTAGGGCAAAACTTTCGTTTTGCCTCACTGAAAAAATATAAGTACTTGAATTTACTAAAAATAATATGGATATAATATTACAAATTGCAGCATCTTTAATAAGCGACTTTTAAAAATCTAAGATTATAATCTGTTATTAAATATTACAAATTACAAATGTATTTAGGTTTACCACTATCATAACTAATTATGTATAATACTATATGATTGAATAAGAACGGCGCCAGCGATGGCTATGAAATGAAGATCGCTGTCATTTTACATATAAAATTACATGGGAAATGTCATCTATCGTCATTTCATAGCCATCGCTGACGCTGTTTTTATTCGATCATACAAAGCGTAACATTAGGCTTATTTGTACACAAAAGCGTTAGCCATTAATACTGTCTAATGCATTAATACTGTGTTAATGCATATTGTTATCAAAATAAAATTATAATTAAAAAAACATTTGATATGTTTGATATTGTATTTGATACACTCTGTTGGCAACACAGAGTCTTCAGTTGGTATTTACATGTCTAGGAATGGGGGAGAATCGCTGTGGCGGAGAGAGATAAAATATATGTTTATTACATAATCATTAATCCGGCGGGTTATGCCTCTTTGTTCTGTACATCTTATTGACTGTACTCTTCGTACACACGAAAATCGGCATCCATAGCCAGGCGAAAATTAATTATAAAAACTAGGATATAATTTAAGTAGATACTTTCAATTTTCGGTTAAAAACATTTGGACCGCCGAAAATAATTAAATATTGTTCAGCTCGAGGTTCAGCCTTGAAGAATTTTTTAATGCAATTCACGCTTTTCAGGACTAGGCATTTGCAAATATAAACAAACTAAATATAGTAAATCGATTTTTAAATGAAAACGGCTTATTTTAATCTCATATTTTAATCATAATATTAAAGATCAGTATATAGAACGTTGTTTGTTTCTAAATACTATACATTTTTTTTAGAATTTTGGTATTTCTCGAAATTGGATAATTTCCGATAATTGAATTACTTTTTGATATTAATTTAAATAGATATTAGATAATAATTAAGTAGATAATTGTATATAATTCTGTATTCAGAAATAATCAGTTGCATTTTATGCATTTATTGATAAATATTATTATAGGTGTCTATAGAGAGATAATACGTAGGAAATTAAAAAACCTATATTTTTATCTAAAAAGTAATTTAATGAAGCGTTAAATTATAAAAAGAATTTTTTTATTTCGTCTCAAAAAATTGTTGGCATTCATATAGTATTTACAGCGCTTTATTTAGTGCGATACGTCCATGCTTAAGCCCACCATACTCACTATGCGCTGATACGGTTCGTCAATGCGTCGATTTGATGCGCCCATGGGTCGATGGGTTGTGCGGCTGTTCGGCGGAATGTCGGTTTT